TCCTAAAATTGGAAAGTCGGGGATCTACAAAATAAAGGATCAATCCAAGTAAGCTTCAAAGAGCACTTGGCCCATGCTAGATTTGGTAGGACAGAAAACTCGAGTGATGCCCAACATATACTTGATGCATCATGAGGGTCATAGAATATGATTTGACAACCTTAAATTTATTAAGGAAGAGTTAGGGAACCAAGTCTGCTAGATAGTTACGAAAGTTTATACATCTAAAAGAATAGAAATAAATCTTTACATACACTGTTTAAAATATCTGCGGTGTAAAAAGTAATCCTAAAATGGTGTCAAAATCCAACACCAAGTGGTGTTAATATAACACCATGAATTAGGGTTGAAAATGAACACCAAAACGGTGTTTATCTAAAATATTTGAGAAGTGCACCTAGTCCTTTTTTTCTGGGTATACCCAGAAAAAAAGGAATAGTTCATTTAACCCAGTTGAAACATAAGTATTTATATTTTTGTGGATCACGTGATGTTCTTAAATCTCGCCTCTATTGACTTACATGAAGAATATATAAACTAAGGCAGTCCTTTGCTTTGGTGTGACACTACAAGTTGTTCGATACTAAAGAGACCTTAAATAGGTGGAAACAGCTGTCAATACTTGAAGTATTTTAAGTTAGTGCAACGCACTAAAAACATTATCTCTAGCGAGTTGAAGGTTTCATTTTCTGGAATAATACCACTGGTAATATACTAGTAGTGCGTCAAGGAACTTCCTGTTTCCTTTTTTTTCCTTTTTTCTGTGTAGTATGATAATTTGACCACAAACACATAATATTTACTGAAAAGGAGTTCAATTTACACCAGGTAAAATTTATTTTAATACTGTGTGAAAGTTAAATTAACACCATTTTAGTATTTGAATTTACACCGCCAACGAACCTTATTTAACTGTTAAATTTTAATACCATTTTAGTATTTGAATTGACACCGGACCAACGAACCTTATTTAACACCATTTTGGTTTGTATCGATATAGACCACGTATGGTGTTAATTTGGTGTTAAATTGGTCATGAAATTTAGAACAGTGTAGCGATAACGGACCGATACCCAACTCTAGTTTGTATAAATTAGTTTGTTAGTTTATTTTTACCTTTTCACTAAAGCGGTTACGGTCCACGGTTTAATAAACTGTGTCCGTTCACGTTTTAGTCAACCTTAGCTTATAATTAATATAAATATGGTAGATTTATCAGTTATGTTTAGTTATACTTTGCTTCTGAAGATGCCAACATCGTTGGCGAAAAGTACTTTAAGCACTTTGTGTTTTGTTTTGGTGTTAGGGAATATTTCTAATATTTGTGTAACATTATTATTATGTAGATATAAAAACAACTATGTTTCACGTGATTGTTGTTTTTATATCTACATAATAATATATTATATTATAATAATATGGAATTTCAGCAAGTGATTATTATTGAGGAAAAATGCTAAAGTGAAGACTTTTTGAAAGTACCACCTCAAGATTGGCCATCTGATGAAGTATATTCTAGTCCCGAATCACCGGAAATAGTTTCCTGAGTCATTAAAAACATCCCTTATGTTGTAGTTTTTTAATTTTTGTGTTTCATATTTCAATATTTTCATAGTAAATTAGAGGCTAAAAATAATATATTTTTTGCGGTCAATTTATCGTAATATTTCCATGGCAACCGGGTGGGGATAGGGGCAGGCATTGGAAAAAGAGCATTAGGTCGAGCACACTAGACAAAATATTCAATAGCGAAAATAATCTGAAAGCGGATTAAATAGAATAATAAACGTCGAACCGAAATGGCCGGCTGAAAAACGCAAAAATGAAATATATTAAAGCCTTAGGGTCACTTGTGCGCTCCCGCACTGCATCATTGATATACGCTCTTCCATACTCCAGAACCAGATTGAGTAATAATTTATACAGGGTGGCCCATTGATAACAGTCCAAGATTTGCGGCTTTATATGTGAAAAAAAAATGAAAAAAATTGTTTTTAAACTAACTAATATCAGTCGACAAATCGTCTTTATCTTCAGTAAAATAGTTCGTTATTTCTGAGCTTTTATTTTCTTTCGATTCGATAAAATAAACCATTTTAAACCATTGGTGAGAAAGTGGAAATTATTGAATTGTATTTTATACACAATCAATGTGCAAGAGTAGCGGCAACTTTGTTTAATAAGAGGCATGCAAATAGACAGGTACATCATGGTTACATCCTAGAATTAGTAGCAAAATTCCGGCAAACTGGTTCAGTGGCAAATAAACAACGAGATATTGAAAATCCGGTAAGAAATGAGGCAGTAGAAGTAGCTGTTCTGTGCGAAATTACTTTGATAGCTTAACTACCAGAAAACTTTCTGATGTAACAAGAGTTTCGCGGGCCACCGTACAGAAAATTCTGAAACATAATAAATGGCACCCATATAAAATTCAACTTCTTTAAGAATTGCATGAAGATGATTTTGTGTAATAATGTCTGAAATAATTATAAATACTCCCAACTACCTTGTAATGTTTGCTTCTCAGACGTTCATTATTGGTCCGACACGAATCCAAAGATCTTTCATGGGGTTCACACTCAGCATCCTCAGAAATTAAACGTTTGGGCTGGTATTTTTGGTGATCACATAAGTGGACCATTTAAATGGAGCTACTTACTTAGACTTGTTGTAGAATGCTGTCAACCTAGCGCTGATCGAAATTATGGAAAACGACCAACAATACCATGAAGAAAATCCGATATTTCAGCATTATGCATGACCTGTACGGCAGTTTCTGGATGAAACGTTTTCTGGTGGATGGATTGGAAGAAGGGGTGCTATGGAATGGCCCGCGAGATCACCGGATTTATTTTCCCTAAATATCTTTTTGTGGGGACATCTGAAATCCAAAATTTATGAGCCCAGCCTAAATCCTTAGAAGATTTACGGAACCGCATCACCAATCAATGCCAATAAATTACACCCGATATTCTTCACGTCCGGGAACACTTTAAACAGTTGCTTTAAATACTATTGTATGTAGCTGAACGGCGGTCATTTTTAACAGTTAATAAGATAATACGTAAGTGGTAATCAATAATATTTAATTAAATTTCTCGGCAACCCGCACCACAACTTTAAAAAACGAAGCGCCGTTTTAAAGAAAATGTAATGCTCCTTCAAAAGATGTATTTCATAACCCTTCCTATTTAAAAAAAAAGGGGTGAATGCCGCCCCCGCTAAGGGGTTAAAGTAACAGTATCAAAATTGTGTAAATAATTTGTTCAGTATGGTTCTAAAAATCAAATTGAGGGTGTTTGATTTGTAGGTAATCACATATAGAAATATTGTAATATTTTCTGGTCCAATGTCATTAATCCGGCCCTGTTCTACGATAATTAGCCTTCGATGCGTTCATTCCGTATGGCCCACCACTGTTGATGCACTCCTTCATCCGGTGTGTGGGTCGGTTGGTTGATTGTTTATTTTTAACTTGTATGCTGATTTCCTAATTTTTAACAACTTTTTTATAAATGTTTGATTTTTATAAATTTATGAATGTTATATTGCTTCAAATGGCGTTAAAAGAGGAAATAAACAACGGAAAAGTAGTAATGATTCCACAATTTAAAAAAATGTGCTTTGAAGGAATTCAAATTAGTTAAAACGTGCTTTAAAAAAAACAAAATCATCTAACCACACCTTTGTAGCTAATTTGCCCCAACCCATAGCGTTCACAATAAATATTTTCAAGGCATATCAGACTTAAATGTTTTCTTGTAATATTTTGTTTAAAACGTAAATTTGTGTTGAGAATTATTTTTAAAAAAATGGCGAATGCTCTGGGATTAATAATATTTGTTGATCCCGTCGCATTCGCCTTTTTTAATAAATATTTTACTTTATGTAATATCAAGCAAATTTTTAAACTTATTTAAAATCGGTTAGTAGGTACTTTGTTAATATTGATTACTGACAGTTCGGTTGTTATTGTGGTTTCTCTGGGGCTACATGAACAGTTTAGTGTATCGGAGCGAAGTTGACACATTAGAACAACTCCGCGAACTTGTCACTGCAGCGGCAGATGAAATCCGAAATCATCCGGATATGATAGCAATAGTTACACATCATAATTTTCTACGCCGCTGTCAACTTTGAATAATAACGGCGGGATAGTTAAACATTTATTATGATTTTGTGGAACACTTAAAAAAATATCTACATGATCATCAATCGACGAAAAAGTAAAAGTTGAAATTTAAAATCGACGGGAATTCCAATGAAACCTCGAGATACTTAACAATTAAAAGTAAGTATTGTTTTATTCAAAGTACCTAAAAATAGCTGAGTATGCAAAACAAAAAACGGTTATTAAGGAAGTAATCAATGATAACACAAATGTAAATTTTTAATAAATGTAAATTATTGCCCACTGTGCTAGCATATTTTGCCTCAGTTGTCATAGGTCAGAAACAACCAGTGGCGGCCCAAAATTTCTACTTTACTTTATTACAAAAAAATGGCACTAATGCAAAAATGATAGAGGAAAAACTTTCCTATTTTGGCGTATTCTAATTTTATCATACAGGGCTTTCAATTAAAAACTACACACCGTTAATAACTAATGGCAGGCAAGTCATTTAAAAGCATAAGTCTACAAAACATCACCTAAGAACATTTAAGAACTCGAAGGAAGAATTTTTCAAGAATGTAGGCAGATAACTCCTGAAACATTTCAAAAAGTTCGACAAGAGTTTAAGAACATATTGTATTTTTGTTTAGCAAATAACGGAACACATTTTGAACATTTTAAATAATTTTTTTAAATCAACTTGTTTTTGCTTAGGATTATATTTACTATACCTGGTTAACTTTTAAAACAATTTTAATTCCTTGCATTAAACCAGAATTTATTATAATATCTATTCTTTATTTCGTTTACTGAATTACAAAAATATTTGATAATATTTTTAATAATAATAATAATAAATTTTCCCAACAAGGCTTAAACTTACCGCTAAGTTTAAAGGGCAATCCACCGGTTAAGGGATCAGGAGCAAATGGTCTCGGTCCAAATGGAAAGTGGTGGAAACCCTGTTGCCTAGTTTTCGACCTTGGCTCCCTTGGTCCATCCACAGTCACCTTAATAGCTTTGCTGTATGTTGCTACTTGAGGAGGACTTGTCGACACTATTATCGTCAGAGAAAAACTTTTACCTGAAAGAAGAACAGAACGAAATGTTTTATTTTATATTTGTTTCAATAATTTATTTATATTGTTACGCAGTAAACCAATATTTGTTAATTTTAACCAAATATTAAACAGATTTTATGTAAATCCAGGTCCACATAACTTTATGTTAATTTTAACCAAATGTAATCTGTTAACCAATTGTATAAGTAGTTTGTACTTATAACAGACATTTTGTAGATTTAATATCAAAATTCTATGTCAATAATTTAACTATAATTCTTGTAATTTTTAAAAAGGATCTCATTTTTAGAAACCTTTTTGTAGACTCAGTAACTAAAGTATTTGTTAGAAATTGGGAACTTCAATAAAAAGAATTTTGATAAAAAATGTTGCTTTATTAATAAATTTCCTTTACAAAAAAATTAACACATACCTACATAAATGAACACAAAAATAACATGCATACCATTATATAACAAACAATTCTGAAATAATCAAATCATAAAGAAATTTGGTACAATATAATTATCAGTACTACTACAGTTACTGATGTATTTCATTACTTTAACCCACTTCACTGTATTCCCTAATTTCGGATACAGATTTCTGGTAACACGTTACAAATTAGAATAAAGTAAGCAGAAACATAAGTTGCAGACGCTGAAGTCAGTTGAACTTGTTGATACGTATTGTCAGTGGGAAATGTTTTGGTTGCCCGAAATCACGTGTACTTTTTCAACGAAATAATTTGTTAAACATGACCAAAATAATCTGTAACCTTTGAAATTAACAAAATGCTTACAAAATTGCATATTATCTTTACAAAACTTTCGGTAAATATATTCTTTTGTTAAAATAATTACAAACTAAAAAAATAAGTAAATTTTTTTTTTCTATGTTCAAAAATCTGATTTTTATAACAGTGTAACAATTATTAAAACAACAAACATTCCATGGCTACGTTATCAAATTTGTAAACACAAACTCCATTATAAAAACATTTGGCTGTAAAACTAATATTTGGTCGGCATCAGAATGAGATACTGCGGTTATGTCGGTGACTTTTTGGCACTAGAGACCCTAAAGCGCTGCTATTGCCAAGCAAATTCGAATTGCCCGTTACATCTTTTATTTTTATGGCACACCAGACAAAATTATAATACAGAAAAAGAAAGGAAGCTAGTCGTTAAAGAGTGCAAGAATTTCTCGTTTAAAAATCGCAGACTTGAGGTAAATGTTTTGTTCTTTTTAAGTTGTCCAGAATGTCTAGGGGCATTATGCAGGAACCAATTTGGCAACATCGCTATTTTAAATACAATGTGTTCTGTTATAAGTAAATTTGTATTAGAAGCTATAAAAACGAAATTAAACAAAATTACGTCTTAAGGCCTCTAAAAAACAAAGAAATTTTCTTGAAGTTGGTGAAAATTTTATTTGACCTGTTTCTTAGTTTTACAGGTACCAATAACAACTTTTGGCACATGTTTGGAAAATTAAATGCAATGATGCCGAAGACATCGAGAGGGGGAAAAAAGACATTCAAAATTTGTTACAAGAATATAAAAATAAGAAACAAACTCTAGAGGATAACATGTTAGTAAATGCTTGATATGCATAAATTATGGGTTAAAAATTTTAGAATAAACTTTTTTAAACAAAAGTAGGGAGCTTGCTATAGTTAAAAATTGCATGTCCAGAAAAATTGTACTAGAAAATGGGTATAAACTTTTTGTAGAATGCATAATATGCATTGCATATAGTTTACCCTTGCCTGTTCCCTGAACAAAATCCTGGCTACACCCTTACTGCAGTATGGAAATGGGGCAATAATTCTTGCTTTTCTAAAACGTTAAATTAAACCCAATACAAAAAATTATTCATGTCTTATACAATTTGTTTTTTAAATAATTTATATTGAAAAATATAGGTATACAAATTTTAAAACTGTTACTTTAATAAAGCAAATTTTAAAATTTAACTGTTCCAGTTCTAGCCCAGATTTTTTTACCCTGTGTATTTTATTTTGAAAATAAAAATATTTTTAACTATTTCTCAAATAATTATTAAAAATTAATTTGAACCAAAAATATACACTGTGCCTGTTTTTGATTTAGAGCAAAAACAATTGTTTTTAAGTACAAGGTGTATTTTTCATTTTCTTAAAAAATGTATTTTAAACTTTTATTATTGGCAAAAACTGTTAATAATTATTATTATAATATGTATATTCAATTTGAAAAACCTATGTTGTTGCCCTTTTATCCCTGCATTTCATTTTCTTTTATGTTTAATAGTATATTTCTGGGCCCAAAAATAAATAAACAATAAAAGTCCTCTTAACCTTGTTGTTGCTTCCTTTACCCAAAACCTACTGTTTCTATTTAAAGAATAAGCTCATAATTTAAAATTTTAAAAGCAGAAAATAAGCTGTACAGTGTACATGGTCTAAATTTAAAATTCTAAATTTTAAAAAATAAGACATAAATATTTTTAAACACAATTTTGGTGTAATTTTATAATCCTTTTTGCCCTAGTTATTTATTTCTCAATAAATATTTTCACCAAAATTTAATATTAGAGGTTATTCTTTTACAATGAAACCAAAAAAAGTTATAAATCAATTAACTTCAAGCATTCAGCTTTTCGGTCAGACAAAAAAACAGCAAAGATATTTGATATGATTAACATAGAAGTAATTTTTTCTTAAAATAAATGCAATTCTTTAATTATCTTTTATATAGGTATGTTTACTTTCTGGATTTATTTTTTCAAATATATACAGGGTGGTCCAGGATTAATCTGAAAAATTGTAATGATCGATAGAGCCTGAAAAAACAATAAAAACAAACCCAAAAACATTTTTCAAAAATGCATACTAACGGAGATATAGTCCTTCAAAATAATTTTTAAACCATTAAACCGATTCTTCTCAAATTTTGCGTAGGTTAAGCTTTTGTCGATAATATAATGAAAATTTCCTACAACGCCCAATAGCGGAGATTTTGGGAGGGGTTTCCCCTTTTTACCCTCATATTTTCGACGCCACTGGATTTAATTAGAAAATCATCAGATTTATTTTTATCCTTTTTCAATCTAAAAGCAAAACTTTTATGTTTATTTTTTATCAGATCAATGGTTTCGGAGATATTTCAGTTTAAAATTTTAAAAACACTGTGTACACGTAACTTTTGTTATTATTTTAGTAATAAAAAAATATTTTTTTTCTGAACGATTGTATTGGGCCAATAAAAATTTACCAATGAAATAATGGAATAATCGCTTTCAATAGGGTGGTTTTTGGGTTGGTTTGATTTTGTATTATAATACAATTAAAGTATTGTAATTGTATTGATTGTAATCCTCAATCAACGTTACAATAAAACAACCTAAAAATATGACGGGATCAGTAACAACTGCACGATGACTCCTGGACGCTAGTTTATTTTTATAATATTTTATAAACTGATAACGTGGCATAATTGTTACCAAGTTACCGATTTAAAATAAAATATGATAAAATTCCGTGTACTCGGTGTTTTTGAAATTTTAAAGTCTCCGAAACCACTGATCTTATGAAAATTTAACACACAAGTTTTGCTTCTAAATTGAATAAGAAATCTGATGATTTTTCAATAAAATCCAGTGGTGTCGAAATATGGGGCTAAAAAGGGAAAACCCCCCAAAATCTCCGCCGCTGGGCTTTTTGTAAGAAATTTTACCTACACAAAATTTGAGCAGAATTTATTAAAAAAAACCGTTTTTTTGCCTTTGAAGGGCTATTAGTGTGTTAGTGTGTATTTTTAAAAAATATTTTTGGGTTTGTTTTTATTGTTTTTTCAGGCTCTATCGATCATTAAAATTTTTCAGATTCATCCTGGACCACCCTGTATTTACAAACAAAAATACTTTCTATTTTTATACATATGGGTGATTCTACAAAAGTTGGGCAACTTTTGACCTCATTTTGTTTATGTAGTTTTCGAAGAAAATTAAACAGTATTTTGTTATGAGAACATATGTAGATAATATAATAAATATATTGTTCCAGACTGGGCCAATCACTTTTTCAAACAGTTTCTGAAATATCTGTGTTTTCTAAATTTAAATGCAAGGGAAGTGACGAGTATACCAGGGTACTAATTAAATACATAATTTATTGGAAAATATAAGATTTATTGCAACTTGAGCATATTATACATTAAATGTCTTAAAATCAAATAATACCACACATCAGTGGCAGCTGGTGGATTTTGGGTATACCGATATCTCAATTATTAGATATTGGACCCACACCAAATTTATGTGAGTTTATAATGACATTAAATAAACAAGTTCTGCGCAAGCAGAATTTAAATTAAAGTTTGTGAAAAAAAGATTACCGAAACATCGAACATGGAACTGACGACACGGTACTGATGAATGGGATAAAAAATTGAGATTATAATTCGGAATTAAGTATTTTACTGATATTTTTTATTAGTGGATGCTACTTATCAACAAATCACATACAGCCTTATATAAATTACAATGAAATGTATATATACGCAAGAAAATAACTACTCACCCCAGTACTAAAATTTTGACTGGAACTATACGTGCATTCACCACAACTTCGCCGCTTGCATTGTTTTCAAGATGACTGTCGTGCAAAGGGCGGTCTCTGTAGGTAATTTTTTACCAACACTTAAGTTAAAACAAGGACTTGACGTTTAAACTTCAATATTTCGCAGGAATTTTGAATTTGAACACTAGACACAGAACTGACGGGTAAAAGTGAGTACAAAGATTATCATTTTTTTTTTAAATTGCTATTATTCGAATCTATGATAAAATATGAAAGATAAATTATTTAATGTTTTATAGTTTCACTGAGAAAAAAGTTTATTGCTCCCAAATAAAAAAAATATTTAAATATGGGACAAGGGTACAGTTTGTTTATCCTAAATATATTTTTATTCCCGACACATAAAGTTTTACTAAAGTATATTTATCGTTATTATTTCGACTATTTAGAGGTAATAAA